CAATGCTTGGCCTGTTGCAATAGCATTTTGGTTTATTGTTCTGAAATCAAAATGGTATGTTAATACCAAATAGACACTGTGAAATGAATCCTCTTGTTACATGGAGTGACCAAAGGAGCTATTAAACAAGCTCCCCAAAAGGAAATTTAGTTCAGCTAACAATACAAGTGGGGGAAATGTACCAACTTGGAACCATGTGGATTCACTTTTGGAACCTGACATCAGAGTTATTCACACAAAAGAATAATTGTTCTGGATTGTTATTGTGTGAGAGAAGGAAAAGGTTATCCCTTCTCCTTTCTGCCAATCACACATAATACAGTTTTATGTGATGGAATAATTTGCTTCCTTTTGCCTGTGCAGTGGTCACTACCATTTATTTTTGTGCCTATTCAATATAATGTTTGCTCTAAGATAATATTTTCTTTAGCCTAACAAAGTGTTTATTTCCATCATTCCGTATGTGCATTTTTAACACAAACATGTGTTTGTACTTAGAAGTGCACACAGAGTGCTGCTTTCCAACCTCTACACACTACTAGTAAAGCAGAAAGGCAGTCACCTATAGACAAGACACTTATTCACGAATGACACTTCTTTACTGATGATCTCAATACCATCTTTCACAACAACCAAATTCATAAAACTAAAGGAGGGATACTCATCATAGCAAGAGAGGTCACAAGTCAGTTACATGTCTCTATAATTATCTCTATAATTCAGAGTCTTCCTGATTGTGTCCAGCCTCCTCAGTTTAGAGGCTGTCCTTCTACTTTAAGAGCCAGAAATACATTTACTTTGTTCATGACACCAAAACTCTAGGCTTTTTTTTAACCACTGGCTAGTTTACCCTAAGCATGAAACACCTGACAGACAGTACCAGAATTCAGCTGCAAGGCAACACTCACCACCTTTGCTGTGACTAGTGTTTAATTTCTTTTTATTCACCAGGGAGTTTCTGCTTTGATTTTTCCCTTCTACTGATTTTTGTGGGTTTCAGCAAATGAAGGAGTTAGGCATTCTGTACAGGACAAATTAGGAACCTGATGACCAGTTACTGAGAATTTGACTTGAATTTCACTGGGCATGGTTGCTGGAGTCAGGCAGGCAAACACACCTGATGAACTAACAAAAAGAGTTCCCCACCCTCTCCTCCCATACAAAAGCAAGGGGCAAGGTACACCAGCAGATTCAAGACATATAAATGTTATATCATTGTTTGATAAGTGTGTGCTGTTTCAATATTCCCTAGATGTCAATTTATCCAAGCTCATTATGACAAACTCAAAATCAAAATGGAAGTACAAACATTCTGCATATTTAATTCCTGCAAAAAGATGCTAGTTGTCTAAAACTGCCAGAGGAACTCAGAGGGACTATGTGGCATTCTCCAAGTATGCAAAAAATACCTAGAATTTAAGAGTACTGTTCCTAAGTACCACTATCATTTTAAAAGAGACAGCCAAAAGAGCTAGAATGTATGGCAGTGACAATTAGGTATCATCCCCTTTGCTGCAACACAGGGATTGGGTATTTTTTCCTCCAAAAAGTCCTTGGGAAGCTAAGGAGAAATGACAAACACTCTGCACTCTTGGGTGTGCTACTCTTCATGCAAGGGAGGAAAAGGTGTTGAGTGATAAAGGGCTTCAGAAAAAATCCCTGTTCCATATCAAGGGAAAGCAGATGAGCCCCATGCCAGAAAAGCCAGATTGTAGGAGACAGAGCTGCACTCTGGGACCACTTGCAAACAAACCTGGGAGCAACTGTGATTCACACTAGCACATATGCTTGTTCTGTTGTTGAAATCTCAGTCAAGGTCTCCATAGTCCTAAAGAAGGAACTTTAAAAGAAGGAATAAGACAAACAAAAATACTGTTTTCATCTGTAAAAAGCAAAATATTGCATGTGTTAAAGGGCTATATAAACAGACATCATCTAACAGAATGGTGAGCAACCAAGCAGGAAAACTAACTTATAGTACCTGGTGCATCAAATGCTTGTAAAGACCTTGAAAGACCTCTTTTCTACATCCAGGCTGTTAGCTTCAGAGATGAAACCCTTACTCATGTTTTCAGAAAAAAAAAGTTTAAGAGATTTCTGAGCTATAGGATTAAATTATTTAAGCATGTTTCATCAGATTTCTCATTGCAAGATTGACTGAAATCTGTTAATAAAAACGTTCTCTACAACCTATGTTGAAAACAACAGATCACAGCGATAAAAAATATAAGCAGACAACAACTTTCTCCAAATGTTACTGTTCTTGTATTTCTTGCATTTTCTGTAACATAGCAAGGTGAATTAAGGACAAAGTAGCAGATCCTCCGTTTCACTCATGGGAAACATAACTTCAAACCATCATTTTAAATGCAGTTTTCAAATATATATTATTTAATACAGCAGCAACACACTGCACCTTACAACAGTGCTGTTCTCATTAATGAAGTTTACAGTGCTTTAAGAAAAATGTGGAGAGAAGTGCTTTCAGCAGAATCATTATACATTAAAAATTAAGAAATCAAAAAGAAAGCACAGCTCAGCACACTTGTGATAAACATATTTCTCATTTAAACAGATCAAAACAGCATCCTACCCTTAAAGCTGGTAACAGATGACTACAATGTGTGAACAGCATCACTCGTCAGTGTTTAGCCACCTTCTCTTTTTCCACTCATGATGTTAAAAAATAAAAAAGGCATGGGGGGAGGGGAACAGAGGAAGAAGATAAGCACTAACAATTTATGGATCAGCCACAACTGATTTAATCCAAATGGGTTTTGAACAAAGATGGCATTAGAAAATGCAAAAATTCAAATAATTTAAAGAACGCTTCTTCCTTCTCTTTCCTAACAAACTGCTGTCATCTCTTTACCTCTCTCCAGCTGGACTGCAGACCTCATGAGGAGCCATAACAAATTAGTTCATGGCTGTGTAAGCTTCTGCTTCATTACACAGCATAATGATAATTCAGGGAAGAAACTCCAGCCCTGCTCTCTTTACATCCCCTCTAACTCCCTATAGGAAGCACTGTCTTCTAGTGATTTTGTTAATGGGCAGCAAGTTTATCTGATGTTCGGTCTTTTATTAAAACTTCCTAATTGCTTTTAATTTTTAAAATCAATTGAAAAAGATTGATGGCTAAAAGGGGAAAAAAGTCTATCTTGTTCCAAGGGCAACACATGCAATTAGGAATACTGCCTCAAAAAGACCCCAGTCCATCTGTGTGCATTCAGACAAGGCACAGCCCTAATGATGGTGAACAGAGTTCCTTAAGTGTCAGTGTGAAGAAGCGTGGATACTGAACAAAACTGCAATTTTATTGCAAGTTAAGACTGCAATTCCAGTTTACACCTTAGAGATCTAAGAAAGGCCATGAGTGTGTCTCTTAGGCTCGTGTTAAGTGTATGCTACAATCCTTCAGCACCAGTTGGTATCACTGCCTGCCAGGCTGTAATTAAGTTCTGACCCAAAACTGTGTTTTAAAAAGGACAGATTTCAAACCACTGCCCCCTAAAGTGTAGCAAGGTGCAGAAGCCACCACCAAGTTATTGAGAGTCAGGGTGCTACTGATGCCTCAAAGGCTGCACCATCTCAGAAGGACCAGTCTGCAACGGCAGGAGAGTCAGCTAACACCACTACGCACTTACTCAGGATTTTTGAATCGGTGATAAACTCACACTGGTCCCCAAAGAGTACTTGCAAATGTAAATAGCATGAGGCTAAATATCTGCAACAGAGATTGCAACTCTTCAGCTGAGGAATATCAAGAGTTTCACAGTCAGGAGGAGATCTCATACAGCTTCATCCTTGTTTGCTAAGTAATACTCGGCTCTCAGCTGCTGTGGCAGAGAGCTGTTTCCCAAGCTTTCCTTTTCAATATTTCTACAGGGAAATAACTTAGTTTGACAACTAATATTTATATCAGCTTCCTCATTTTTAAAGAGCCACAGCCATTGCTCTGCAAGCCTCGTGGGATCACATGCAAAGCTGCCTTACAATGCATGCATTAGACCCTCTAAGTTGCTTTGGCCTCAGTTTCTTTCTCAGTTTCTTGAAGAAAGAGACCTGCAACCAACAGGACCATCTCTAAGCTTCCTTGAAAATCTGCTTCTCACCCAACATTTACTAATATATCTTTTTATTTCCACTTGTAGATAGTTGAGTTTACAGTTCTCAGTCCCACTAATGAGAAAACAATTTTAGTTGTTCATAAACACAAGAGAATTTACAAAACACTGCACATCTGACTTGAGTCAAACAAAAATCCCAGAGCTCTCACAGATGTTTGACTAGTCATGCCAGAAAATATCTTCTCATTTCCGAATATGACCTAAAACTTCCTTTTTGCAATATTCCATATTCAATAGCTGTGGATGCCTCTTAGTTCACAGCTCTCTAAAAAACACATCAAGGTGGTCAATTTTTTGTAACTTTCAGACCATGTGATGTTGCATAAAAAAACAGCTTTAGAAAGACCCCAGTTTGGTCACTTTTCAGTCACATGGTTACGGCACCAGCTACACTCCTCTGCATTGCTTCTGCCAGGAAGGAAAACAGGGAATAGAGAGGAGGGAGGATGGGAAGTGCCACATGTCCTTGGTTTAGTACTTTTCAAAGGTTCTCAATTTAGATAATAAAAAATGAATACATTTAAGTTATTAAAGCAGTATTTATTTACATAATAATAATGAGCTTAAAATCTTTCCAGATCTTTATTAGTACAACACTATTTTCCCCATATAGATGGAAATTGTAGAACTACTTCTGGTACAACATACTTAAATATCAGTTTCTGTTTGCTTTAATTTTTAAACTAGAGCAACCACATCTACTTTACTTTTCTACCAAGAAGTGGACAAATGAACACAGCCACCTACTGTATGAATTTCTGGGGCTAAACCTGCAACATGGGATCTTAAATGACTCTGATAAAATCAGAAAACATGACAAACCAGGAAAACTGAAGAAACAAGAACATCCTGTTTTCTTTGGTAAAACAATGTTCAGAGTCCCTCTGAGTTCTCTGACCCTTATTCATGCATAGAGATTTCATTCTTTCCCAGTAATTGCTCTTTGAGATTACTCAAAAAGTCCATGAAGCCAGAGAAAAAGTGATAGGACACCAGTAAATGAAGCATGAGTCATTATTGTCTGCCATCACTCAAGCACATGAATGTGAATGCTGGCACAAGCCTAGACATTAAATGCACTGATGACACTGACTCATAGGGTGCAGCAGTTAACTATCAATGTAGTCATCATCCTCTCTGTACTTCAAGCTTCAAGTGCACTCTGTAATAATGAGATTCTTCATGCTCTAGACAAATTTTGCAGTGGAAGGCCTGAGGCTTCACATCAATTCAGTTTGTGTCAATGGCTTAAAATAAAAAAAAAAAAGAAGACCTACCAAGGTACAAATCCTTTAAGTTTGAAAAGAAAAAAAAATTGCCGTTTATTGTATCTTTTACCCTTCCAAATCCACTATGGAAGTAGAACCAAATAAAGCAAGGGGAGGAGGAGAGGGGGAGAGGAAAAGTTAAAACCAGCTTCTTCTCCTCTGGGAAAAAGCCAGTAAAACACACCAACAAACAGAAAAAAAAACCAAAACAACCACCTCTTCCTTAATATTACCTCATCCTGAAATGAAGCAAAGGAGAGATTCAATTCTAAGACAGATCAAGACAAGTGAGGTTATAATAATAAATAAAAGAGAGGCTGTGGGAAACCAGCATGGGTATATGGCTGCATGTGTGTAGTGAATATACAGTAATCTCAGAAACACGTTTTTGCCTGATGCAATAGTTAAAAGGAAAATAATATTTTTCTAAGAGGGGAAAGAGGAAACGAAGGGTAAAATACTGATGCTTTTCAAGTCAGCAGAATTTTTGAAATCAACTTCAAATGGATTGACTATTTAACCTGAAGAGAAGCTAAAATTAATATTTAAACTCATCAGCATGAAAAATGCTGTAACTGTTTGTTTGGAAAACTGGTAACAAATTCTGGCTCAATGAAAATTGCTACAATCTCCTCTATCACAACTCATTAAAGATCAAAGTGTCTGTAATTGAACCATAAATCTCCTTTGTTCTTAGAAAGACTAACTGAATAAAACAAAACTGTAGATATTTACAGTGATATACTTAGCAGTAGCAAAACAAAATATTATTTCAAAGTAATATTATAATGATCTCTTATTAAAATCCACATCAGGAAAAAAATGGAAAGAAAGTATGAAGAAGAAAGAGGAATGCCTCTAAAACTTGGAGTCCTTGTGTCCCAGTCACAATTTCTTGAGGATAACATTGATACAATTAATAATCAATGAATTAATAACCTTTGGGAGAGGGATTATAGTCTCTACTTGGACAGTACCCAAGACATTCTGAAGACTACTTTAATCTAAATTAACACAAGCTTCCCAAGAAACTCTCTGAAGATCATCTTCTAATTCTGAGTCACTGAGGTTACCCAGTGAATCAGAACTAAAACAAGACAGAAAGATGAGTTCTACAGGGCAACACACAATAGTAATGGCTGAGGAGGGCTCTCGGAGACTGTCTCTAACTAATAATTTTTACAAAATTGAGTGAAGTTCCTGGTAACTCTTTGAAAATAATAATACAAAATTTCTCATCTCTCTCTACACTTGGAATCAAGTTCCTGACCTTTGGCCTTGTAACACTAAGCACTCTTAGTCTTCTGAATCTGTTGTGTAACAAGCAGGAGGTTTCAAGTCAATGGCAGGCACATGACACTGCATGCTCCAAACATGAGTTCATTTATACTGACAAGCAAATTTCCTTCCACCTCACACTGATGAGCATTTGAAGGATCTACTCACTCTTACCAACATGTCAGGTAGGGGAGCAGCTCAGGTAACAGCCAGAAGACAAACCTTTGCAAGGCAAATGCAACCCATGCTTTTGTCAAGAGCATGCTAGTGGAGTACAGTGGAACACACAGGTGCATAAGATTACAGGGACTGGGAAAACCAACAATTACTTTACAAATTGGCAAACTTTTGCATAACTGCATAGCACTGAGCCACCGCACAAGACCAAGAAACACCAACTGAAGCACCACAGCATTAATAACTTCTGCTCTTTGCTTGAACAAGCAGTAAGCACAATGAGAAAACTTCTCATGCCTCTCACCATTCTAAAGTCCTGCTGACATAGAGAGGCCAGAGTAAGTAGAGCTGCTTTCAAGCAGCTCCATTTTTATAGTTTTCTGATTAAACTCAAAGGGTGGTTGTGCCAATTCTTCCTTTGCCCTGAAGCATCTCTTCTGAAGATAAAGATCTCACTGTGTTTGAGCACTGTTGGGAAAGTTCATGGAGAGACTGAGGTTGTGGCACAATCAGCATGCTGATGTCCTCAAGCTCTGTACTTGTAGCCACCTCCAAAAGGATTGAAATTCAGGAACAGCGATGTCTCGTCTGGTAGGACACGGAGCTTGAAGGACTAACTAGTGGCACTAGATGAGCTAGATGAGGATGCTAGAAGAGTAGATATAGCACACTGTTGCTCAAAGGCTGACTGCTTCTCATAACATAGGCAAGCGTTTTTGTCCTGAACAAAGGTCATGTTTATATTACAAAACAAAGTTTTATACACAAGGTTCCTCCCCCAAAAAGAATTAGCTCTCTGCTTCAGGTTTCAAACATTCTCACCTTTGACATGTAAAACAAAGATTTCACTTCTTGTATCCAATGACTCCAACATAACACACACAGTGAAACAAATTAAAGGTACAACTCAAGTAAGCTGCTACAATGTCAATGGCCCCAAACTTTACAGCAGCATTTCTGATAGGCAAAATATCGATTTTCTCCTGTCAACAAAGATGGGCAAAAAGCCCTTCCACAGATATTCCCTATTATTTCTGTAAAGACTATCCTTTGCTCTTCTTATAGTGAGAGGGTCATAGCCTCCCTGTGGAGATGCCTTTATGTTCTGTGTAAAATTGAAACAGAGAGCCTAATGGGTCTTGTTACAGATTAAACAGGCACACTGATACCTAGTTGAAATTGAACTTAACACCTCAGGTTGCTCACGTCAATTTTCTGAAACACGGAGAAAAAAAGTAATTGTCAATTAATGAACCATTGACTTGGGGTTGGTAGAAATCAATAACATGAAATAATATAAAACTATACAATCTTAATCAGTATTCTGTAACGAAAAGGCTTTTAGACAGACACAGAGTAATTGGCTGTTCCTTTGTGGCCCATCCTCTAAGCTATACAATTGTCCAATTAAAATATAACATCAGTAGCAACACAGTTGTTTGTTTTGTGGTTTGGGGATTTTTTTATATGCACTATAACATTTGTTAAATCAAAAGTTGCAGACACTGAAAGAGCGTGAACAGAAGGGTAAAACATTAATTAAATCCAAGGGATCAAATTCAGGTCAGATACCAGTTATGAACCTTAGCCTCCCAATTCACTGTCCCTCTAATCATATATAGAAGCTTGACGATAGAATTCACATCTCTAGGGTTCCACCAGAAACATAACATTGCTCAAGTAGAAATTTCTGTTGTAAAATCCTCTCAGGACAACTTCACATCTTTCACAGAAGACACAAGACAGTTTCAGAATAAACTCATTTCCACCAAACAGTAAGCATGCACATAGTCTCACAAAACCAAGAAAAAATACCAAGAGTTCTTGAAGAGGATCAGAAAGGCTAGACATGCACTAGAGAAAGTATACTCAGGAAAACTTCTCCCGCCCTTTTCCCCTCCTCATGATTTATGGTAAAATGAAAGGGTCGTATCAAGATGGTCCCACTAGGCTGCAAAAGCAACAGAAGTTCTGGAATGCTGCAAACAGTGTACCAGATGTACCAGAATAAAGGTCAATATTTCCTTACCTAGACCTACCCTTGTTCATTATTGACTAATGCATTCTTAGACTAGTTTTGCCTACTTGAAAATTTTATAATACAAGGTAAGATAAAAAATTTATTACATACTTGCACTGCATACTGGCCACTTATAATAGAGCAAATTATAGGGGGGTTGGTTGGGTTTTAAATGATAAATGATTACACTGCTATCTCTAGGACTGGGCAGGATGCCCATGAGAAATAATTAATGTTAGAAAAGACCTTCATGATCATCAAATCCAACCTTTGACTGAACACTACCAGGTCAACCAAACCATAGCACTAAATGCCACATTTCTTGTACATTTCCAGGGATGGTTACTCCATCACCTGTCCAGCCCATTCCGATACTTAAACCCCTTTACAGTGAAGAAATTTTTCCTTATGTTCAACCTGAACCTCTCCTGGCACAGCTTCAAGCCAATTTTTTTTTGTCCTATCACTAGCTGCCTAGGAGAAAAGGCTGACCCCTACCATAAAATATGATCTTTTAGATCATAATCCATCCAAACATGCACTTGTTTTAACAGCTTGAAAGGAAACAATGAGTCATTTAAAACAACAAAGAAGTAATTTATTTTGTTGACAAATGAAAAATTAAGCTAGATGGTTCTTTTTTAGCATATGTCATTTGAGACTGTCAGGCACAGCACCATAAGGAGGTAGTCATTCAGACCCAAAGAGGTAGTAGCCTGGTACTTGAAGAATGAATGGCAGAACTGAAAATTAAGTTGTCTGTCCTGTGACACAAGAGACCCCAAAAACTGCAGTTGTAACCCAGTCCATTATATTCCAGTAAAGATTCTGGCTGATCAGCTGCAAGAAGGAATCCTTCACTTCACAGAGACTGCTCTTCAGCAATCCTGTGTGCTTTATAGATGTTACACAATAGAATGTATTTCAGATTTCCTTAAACATGGTGGGTAGGTTGGAAACTAATAGTACATGGACAAGTAGTCCTTACAAGGCTACACTTTTAGCCAATCTTACACAAGTGGCCCACACAACATTTAGGCTACAGAAGACGGCAGATTAAGCACATTCATTTTAAGAGAAGGAAAAAAAAAGTCAGAAAAATTATTTTTAGCTACTTTTGGGATCTGGATTCTGCATGTAAATTTTGACAGTGCCATGCCAGTGCTAAGGGGTTTTTTGGTAGAAACCCACAAATGAGATTTTCTTTCCTGTTTTAATGAGAAACAGCACCAGGTTATCACTTTCAGGCATCTAGATTTTATTATCTCTGATGCAGCACTTGCAAGGAAATACAGCAGGCCTAGCAGAAAGAGGCAAACCAAAGAAAAAATGTTGTACTTAATAAGGATTAAAATTCCCAAGGTTATTTCAAAAGATTATTTAAGCCCTCTGAGAAGGAAAAGCATGGAAGTGGTGTCAGCATTCCATTAACAATGCACTTATTATCCACCATCAGCTGGAAATACTAGAGAAATTGGCATCTTGTTAACACCAGAAACACTCA